TTCGGCTGCCACCCGGGCAAAATTCAAAATTTCCTACCAACTGAAAATATTAGGTGTATCCCGCGCGCTCATATGACCTTATGCAGTTGCGAGCGCCGTAAAACACTTTACAAAAACAAAAAAAACAAAAAAAACAGACAAGAGTCTGTTGTGTGGGGTGAGGGTTGTATAAATGTCATCATAGTTGATTCAACCACAGTCATTGTCCTATCTTCCCCTGTATAAATGTGGTAGTTGATTCAACCAGTCATTGTCCTATCTTCCTGTGTCCCTGGTGGGTGGTTGGTGGGTGCTCTGCTGTGGTTTGCTCCTTCGTTCCCATCAAACATCTATCGTCTTTATCTCCCTCCTTGATTGTGTTTGTTACTCTCTTGTAACTCCTCTAATCTTCGTCACTTCTATGACCTTATAGTGTTGCAAGTGCCGTAAAACTCTTACTAAAACAAACGTCCGTGACCCCCACAGACCCCCGAGGACCAGAGGAATGGGGAGGACAACTCGATCGCTGACCTGGTGAGCACCAAGTTCTTTGAGTGGAGCTGCAAGTACTTTGCTGAGCCGCTCATGTGTCTGCGGCGAGAGCAGGACCCAGAATGCCACAGCTACCACGAGAGGGAGTTCCGATTTGTGCGCAATGCGCGGGTCCGACAGCAGGGCAGGGATCAGCTCAGGGCAGGTGAGGTCACAGGTCACACAGGTCAGAGGTCACACGGGCAGTGATCAGCTCAGGGCAGGTGAGGTCAGAGGTCACACAGGTCAGGTCATAGGTCACACAGGGCAGGGATCAGCTCAGGGCAGGTGAGGTCATAGGTCACACAGGTCATAGTTCACACAGGGCAGGTCATAGGTCACTCAGGGCAGATGAGGTCATAAGTCATAGGTCACACGGGTCAAAGGTCAGGTCCCAGGTGATGTCACGGAAGTGCTGATCTTCCAGGAAAATTGCCAGAGTTACTTTTAAAAAACAAACGGTGTGCATGAAATTCACAACTGAAACAAAATATACAAAAACTGAACGGATGAATGAAAAATAACACACACATACTGCACACACACACACACACACACTCACTCTCGCACACACATACACACACACACTCACACACATACACACACAAACATACACCAGGCTGGGGCTCGGTTAAAAGAACTATCTTTGTGCACTGGGCGTGAAACTCAAACCCAACTGTTGCAGGTGTGTCGCGTCTGGACGACCAGATGTTTGTCAACAGAGTCGGGGCTGTGCCCACCGCCATCAAGTTCCACCCCTACGAGAACTTCCTGGCCGTAGCAGACGCCTGCAATGTCTCGTAAGTTTGTGACGACGTCTCGTAAGTCTGTGACGACGTCTCATAAGTCTGTGACGATGTCTCGTAAGTCTGTGACAATGTCTCGTAAGTTTGTGACGACGTCTTGTAAGTCTGTGACAATGTCTCGTAAGTCTGTGACAATGTCTCGTAAGTCTGTGACGTAAGTCTGTGACAATGTCTCGTAAGTCTGTGACGTAAGTCTGTGACAATGTCTCGTAAGTCTGTGACGACGTCTCGTAAGTTTGTGACATCTCGTAAGTCTGTGACAATGTCTCGTAAGTCTGTGACAATGTCTCGTAAGTCTGTGACAATGTCTCGTAAGTTTGTGACAACGTCTCGTAAGTCTGTGACAATGTCTCGTAAGTCTGTGACAATGTCTCGTAAGTGTTTGACAATGTCTCTTAAGTTTGATACGTAAGTCTGCGACAATGTCTCGTAAGTCTGCGACAATGTCTCGTAAGTGTGTGACAATGTCTCGTAAGTCTGTGACAATGTCTCATAAGTTTGATACGTAAGTTTGTGACAGTCTCGTAAGTCTGTGACAATGTCTCGTAAGTCTGTGGCGTAAGTCTGTGACAATGTCTCGTAAGTCTGTGACGTAAGTCTGTGGCGTAAGTCTGTGACGTAAGTCTGTGACAGTGTCTCAACAATACGGTGTTTGTTGTGTTTGTGCCACTCACAAGTTGTTGGGGGGGGGGTGTGAGGGGTAATTTTAATTTTTGTTTGTTTTAGGTTTTTTTAATTGGAAGCCCAATACAACATTGCCACATACACACATACTCCCGCACACTCACACACATACTCCCGC